GCTGGTTTGAGCCAAAGAAGTTGCTGGTCCATCATTCTTGAAGAGGGTCAACAAGGGTAAGAACTTATCCCTTTTATTCCCCATTTTTACATAGCTCTTTAGTCTGGCTTGCAACTATTTTTAGACTTGGTGTATAACATATGAAATTTTTGTTTTTGCCTACTCTAAATAGTTGGTTAAGGGTGTTTTGAGCCTTGAGGTTGTTTGACCCCTCTTCGGGCTTATTTGACCCCTTTTTTGTGCCATTTTGGTGAGCTCCAGGACCATTGTGTTTAGGCCTCCTCACCACTGAAATCTTGAGGGATTTTAGTGGTAAGGATGGTGCCTTGAGGTCCTAAGAAGGAGAGGGCCACCCCCTCTCCTTGTTGTCCTTGAAAAGGGCCATTTTAGCCTCTTGTGTGAGCATCTAGTTTAGGTCCATGTTGATCGTACCTTAACTGATTTTTGTGCTTATTATGTCATAATACAGCTCCGTTTTTAATTGGTTTAGGTACGCCATGCTTGTTTAGAATACATGCCTTGTAATGCCATGTTTTAGCCTTAATATGCTTTAGGTTTTTGACCCTTGTTTTAGCATGTTTTTGGCCAAGCTTTTTGAAGTTTTTGTGCTTGTTTCAGCATGCTAAAGTTTTGTTTTTGGTTGTTTTGGTCGACCATGACATGCATTGCATAGCCTCTTTGCATTCTTAGCTTGTGAGCCTTATGTGCATGAACCATGAGCATGCATTACTTGCATTATTTCAGTGGTTTGGAACCACTTGCCATGTTATTTCAGTCCTTGTGGCATGCCTATATGCTTGCATTTGATATCCCTTTAATGTGTTAAAAGGTTGTCATCTTATGCTCCTTGTTTGGGCCCTTGTGCATGCTTCCATACTTAAGCCATTTAGATGCCATTTAGGTGGGTTTTGAGGCTCATTTTAGCATGTCACATCTCTGTTTTCAGTCACTTAATTCATGCCATGTGTGGTTGCACTAAGTGTAGTTCAATGCTTCTTTGGTGAGCCTTAGGCTTTAGACCATTTGTTGTATGCTATGCTTGTCTTGTTTGCTTGTTTTGGCACCATCATTAACATGATATTCAGAGCTTGCATTGCATGCCATATCCCATGTTGTTCCTCTTTTAAGTGTGCTTAAAAGTTGTCTCTATGTGCCTAAGTGTTGGACCTTGCATGCATGCCTATTTGTATGTGTTTTGGCTTCCATTCTTGAGCATGATGGCCACTGTTTTAGGCTTGTTTGAGGGCTACCTAAATTAGTTTAAGTCTATCCTTCATGTGTTATAGCATGTTTGCCTGGTGCATTGTTGCATACTTGGTCTATTACATGTTATTGCTTGCTTGAAATCATGGTGCATTTGGCATGTATTTCATTGGTCAAGTTGCTTTGCATTGTTCCTATGCTTAGTCCACTTTACATGTTGTTGCATGTTATGGCCACTGTTTTAGGCTTGTTTGAGGGCTGCCTAAATTAGTTTAAATCCATCCTTCAGGTGTTATAGCATGCTTGCCTCGTGCATTGTTGCATACTTGGTCTATTACATGTTATTGCTTGCTTGAAATCATGGTGCATTTGGCATGTATTTCATTGGTCAAGTTACTTTGCATTGTTTCTATGCTTAGTCCACTATACATGTTGTTGCATGTTTGCCACTAGCATAGTTGTCACATGACTTGCATGCTCATTTTGCATACTTAGCCTCCATGTCTAGGTTGCATTGCATTTGCATGCATGCATCACCTCTTGAGTTGAGTATGATAGAGGTCGAGCCCCTTTGTTTGATTATGTGCATTGCATTCTATATCAAAATGCATACTTAGTTTCTTGGGCCAGCACGCATTGAAATGCGCGATTGGTGGTCCGAGAATCGAGACCCATCCTTCTTTGAGTCATGAATATGATAAAGAGTATGGTTGGTGCATACATTGCTTGAAATGCATTGCCATGCTATGTTTTGCCCTCTGCTGCTGTCAAAAACAAATTTTGCAGGAAGCTTTGGTCGGCCGGCTATCTCTAGTGCCGACCGACCATCCATAAATGGCCGATAGCTTGAACAAGTGGCCGGTGATCATTCCCTTTGGCCGGTGACCAATTCCATTAGCCGGTGGTGTTCCACAGCACTTAGAGAAGCAACCCTGGGACTTGTACAGTTTTCAGATGAGGATAATAGTCAAAGCAGAGGCAACTTATGCATGGCAGTGGCTTTCCGATCGGAGCCGAACACGCATTGCATTGGGCCCTCTTGCCGAGGCTGTTTATTGTTTTATTAGATTAGTTAATTCGCTTAACTAGTTTAATTAGTTTAATTGGTCTGTAACATTTTAATTTGCTTGTAGGTTAATTAATTGTATTATTCTTTCGGTCCCTCCGAGTGAGGGCGTATTTGTAATAAGTGTGGGTACGTGTGTGTATGTCTTCCAACCCCCACTTCTTTCTCCTTTTTACTTACCTGCTTTTGATGGTTAGTATTAGGTCATATTGAAATTTAGCATACCTTATGCTATGTATGCGTGCATCCATACATTTGTCTTGCATGCACCGGGCTCGGCGCATCATACTAACTGCATTGTATTTCAATTCTAAAGTTGAATACATGTTAATTGTAGCATTGTCACATGCCATCTTAGAATAGCCGAGCCTATTGTAGTTGCATCTTGTACGTGTTGCATTAGCCATCTTAACATGAGCTAGGATCATGCATTGATTACTAACTAGCTTTTGTTCTGGCTCAGAGTACTAGGTAAGCTTTTATATTTTAGCATCTTGCATGAGTGTGAGTGTTTGCCATGACAGCATAATTACCATGAGGCTAGCTGCTTATGTGATATAACTGCCTAAATGTCTGTGGGTGAAGATTGGGTTATTTGAATTGGAACAATGCATTGAATGCGAGTTTTAAGCCCACTTGGAAGTGGCAAAACCATATTTTATAAGCCCATTTGAGGGTGGCAAAATTCATGTCTTAGCCTACTTGCGGGTAGCATCATCAAACCATTTTCAAACAAACAAACATGAAATGTTTTGTTCCAATTCAGGCGACCCGGTCTATACTTGTTTGTTGTGCGCATAACATAGTAAATCTAGGCTAATAACCAGAATAAGAACGCATAATGTTTTCAAAACTAGATATCACAGTTAGTAGAGGCTGATCTTTGATCAGGCGAGAGGGGGTGCTCATAGCTGACCTTCCCCAATCGTACCCAAGTTCCCGAGCCGAGGCAACTTTGGTGATGACGGACACGTGGCCTTTGGCACCGAGTCAGGGTTTCCTAAATTCCCCCAAAATAAAATATTTAGGTGGCGACTCTGTATCTGGCAAAGCAGTCCATGTTTGGCACTTCTTTTCTAAAAATCTGTTTTCCAAAACGATTTGCCAGATTTGGACTCTGTGGTTCAGATTAAGAACTGTGACAATTCGAGAGTCTGAACTGTAGTAAGCCTAATATGAACAGAACGGGACTCATCCTCCCGGGGCGTTCGGGGACGTCTACACATACTTGCCGATGCATACTGCTGGCTGCATGTTGTTGGCAGCACAGATGAGGGACAGGTCAGGAAACATACGTGGAGGGATGTGGCAACTGAGCAATCTTCATCATTTAATACTCACAAAAAAGGAATCCGGAGAATCAAGTTTTCACCTGAAGTTCCTGGAGATCGTAGCCGTAGGCGTATTGCTGTACTGTTTTATGACAATACATTTTCTGTATTTGATCTTGATTCACACTCTTTTACAACCTCAATTTCTGGGAACCCTTGTATTGGAACTTGATTGGTTGCCTTTGCGTACTGATAAGAATGATCCACTGGTATTATGCATTGCTGGAGCTGACAGTAGCTTTCGCCTTGTTGAGATTAATGTAAATGACAAAAGGGTTGGGTATGAACCCCGGCCTAGATCCATGAAAGAGAGATTCCGACCAATGCCTTTGTGTTCTCCTATATTACTTCTTACATCACATGCTTTGGCTTTGCACATGATCTTGCAACTGGGTGTGAAGCCAGCATGGTTCAACGCATGCAGTACCATCATAGATATGAGGCCCAGAACTGCATCATCAACAGGAGATCTTCGTAGTTATATGATCGATTCACTGTAGGTGACTCTGTAGTGCCAGAGTTGCTTCTTAAGGTATTGGAACCTTACAGAAAAGAAGGATGCATACTTGATGACGAGAGGGCAAGATTATATGCTTTTATAGTAAATAAAGGTTGTGTTACGAGGTTTGCTTTTGCGTAGCTGCAACCTTTGGTGAATTCATAGAAGCACTATTCTGGTTACAGATACCTTATGCCCTTGACCATTTGATGAATAAGTTGGTTAAAAAGTCTCCACAAATAGCCCCAGTTCCAGAATCAATTCCCAAGCTCGATGACACAGTCATGCTGAGTAGGATAACATCGAAGGGTAAACAAACATCCGAAACAGGGAAAACAGATATATTGAGTAATGGTCTACTTAAGTTGATGGCTTTTGAGCAATGAGAGTTGTGGGGAAGTGCAAATGAGTGTATTACTTGGCATGAGAAGTTGGACAATGAAGAAGCTATTCAGAATCGTGTACATGAGCTTGTGTCAGTTGAGAACCTAGAAGTTGCTGTTAGTTTACTGCTTTTCACACATCCAAAGAGCACTTACTTCTATACAAATGCTCTGCGTGCGGTGACTCTTTCATCTGCTGTGTCATGGTCTCTGCTTGAACTAGCAGTTAAGGTTGTTGCAGCCAATATGGTTAGGATAGACAGGTTATTGTCAGGCACACATCTTCTCTGTGCCATTGGAAGGTATCAAGAAGCTTGTTCTTAGCTGCAAGATGCTGGATACTGGACAGATACTGCAACATTAGCTGCAATACATTTGAAGGGATCTGAGTGTTGTAGAGGTGGGGTGATCATGTTCTTCACACGAAAAATAATATCTGGAGGGCTCTCATTTTGTATGTTGCAGCTGGTGCATTGCAAGAGTCACTGGTTGCACATCGTGAGGCACAGTAACCAAACATGGCTGCCATGTTCATACTCGCTTGTCATGAAATCCTTGCTGATATAATCTCCAGGTTAGGTTTGGATGAAGAATCAATCAAGGATAAACGATTACTCTTGCCCAAGTTAAACCCCCAAAACGAAGATGTTATTGCTGTTGGTGAATATTTCGGGCAGTACCAAAAAAAACTAGTGCATCTATGCATGTACTCACAGTCATTTTCTGACTAAGTGACTTGGCCAATTTAAATAACATCTAAATTACACTCACAGATAAGGAACCTGCCAACCTTCAAGCATCTTACAAATAGTATGCAGCAGCAAGCATGGTGCAGAGTTGTTTTGCTGCTGCTGCTATTGCAAAGTTGTGTTTTTCCTAAATTTCTTGAATTCAAAGTATTTGTTGAGAACCAATTTTCTACTAATCTTGAAATTCTTAGAAGTGACAATAGGGGTGAATAGGGGGGACACAACCTGCCAATAGACCTAAGACATCATGATGTAACCCAAAAACTGCATCAACTTAACACACCTAATTAAGTAAATAGCCCAAAATACAACAATTTTATAATAGTCCAACATTCAACAAATAGTCCAAATACCATGCAGATGTTCCCATTTGCTAATACATTTCAATTTTAGATTAGGATAAATTTTATTAAATTCAAACATAAATGGATAGTAGTGCACTTCAAATAAGGACTTGTTTCGGTTTGTTAACGCTTTTGCTGCTGCTGTTGCACTTAATTGCTATTGTTCCTGCACTTAGTTGTTGCTCCTCTTAGTTGTGCCTTCTCAATGACATTCCTTTGAGGTTATCAACTGTGTAGCCTCTAGTTTATTGTTTTATATTATAATTTCTTTATTGATATAGGTATTCAAAAATACATTTAAAATGGACAAGTCTTGGATGTTCAAGGATAGAAGATCAAAAGACTATGAGAATGGAGTTGAACAATTTCTTAATTTTGCTATGACCCATGCAATTGATCTTCAATCCATACGTTGTCCTTGTAGAGTCTGTGGAAACTTGAGAAGCCAACCTATTCGAGTGATTAGAAATCATTTATTTTTCAATGGTATTGACCAAAGTTATACCACACGAATATGGCATGGAGAAACAGTCACTGATCGGGCATCACCATGTTTAAATGAACAAGATATTTCCCAACAACAATTTGACACGTCTCCTATAAACAATGTAGCTGAAATAATAGAAATGGTTCAAGATGCATACGATCGTTGCACGACTGATTCTGAAGTGTTTAAGAAATTACTTGAAGATGCGGAAAAAACATTATATCCGGGTTGCACAAAGTTTACCAAGTTATCTGCATTGGTTAAACTGTATAACTTCAAGATTACGAATGGCCTATCTCACACTGGGTTTTCAGATTTACTGACGTTGTTGGGTGATATGCTGCCAATGAACAATGAAATACCATCATCCATGTATGAGGCTGGGAAGACGTTTGCTGCATTGGGAATGGGATATAAGAAAATACATGCATGTTCATTTGATTGCATACTCTATAGAAATGAGTACAAAGATGCAACTTCATGTCCTACATGTGGTACATCGAGATGGAAGTTAAAGAAGAATTCCACTGAAATAAGAAAAGATGTGCCTGCAAAAGTTTTATGGTTTTTTCCACCTATCCCAAGGTTTCAAAGGATGTTCCAATCAGCAAAAATAGCGAAGGATTTGACATGGCATGCTCACGAAAGAGATTCTGATACAACAATGTGTCACCCTGCGGATTCTCCATCATGGAAGTTAGTAGACCACAAGTGGCCAGATTTTGTTGCAGAGCCAAGAAACCTTCGATTAGCTATTTCTGTAGATGGAATAAATCCACACAGTTCCCTTAGTAGTAAGTATAGTTGTTGGCCAGTTATGATGATTACCTATAATCTTCCACTGTGGTTATGTATGAAGAGGAAATTTATGATGTTGTCATTGTTAATATCAGGTCCACAACAACCTGGTAATGACATTGATGTTTACTTGGCACCACTAATTGATGATTTGAAGATGTTGTGGGAGATAGGTGTTGAAGCTTATGATGCTTATAAAGAAGAACACTTCAGGTTGAAGGCTATATTGTTGTGGACAATTAACGACTTTCCAGCATTAGGCAATTTGAGCGATTGTACTGTAAAGGGATATTATGCATGTCCAATTTGTAGTGAAGGAACATGTTCTCACAGATTAAAATATGGTAAGAAGAACACATATGCTGGCCACATAAAATTTCTTCCGCGGTACCATCCGTATCGGAGGCAAAAAAAGGCTTTTAGTGGTGAGCAAGAGTTTGGATTAGCTCCAATACCATTACGTGGGGAGGAGATATTAAATAAGGTTGAAGGGCTTGTAACCATATGGGGAAAGAGAAATAAAAAAACATTAGATGGTGGTACAAAATGTTAGAAGAAGAAATCATTATTCTTTAATCTTGAATATTGGAAGTACTTACATGTTCAACATAATTTGGATGTTATGCATATTGAGAAGAATGTGTGTGAGAGCCTCATTAGTACGTTACTTAATATTCCAAGAAAAACAAAGGATGGCATTAATTCTCGCCTTGATCTTGTAGAAATGGGTTTGCGTGAAGAATTGGCACCATAAATTGGGAAGAAGCGAACATACTTGTCTCCAGCATGTTACACATTGTCTAAGGAGGAGAAAAGAACAGTATGTACAACATTATTGGAACTGAAGGTTCCAGAAGGATACTCTTTAAATTTGAGAAGTCGTGTATCAATGCAAGATTTGAAACTTTATGGTCTAAAATCACATGATTGTCATTTATTGATGCAACAGTTACTACCCGTGGCAATACGATTTGTGTTACCTAAGCATGTGAGACATGCCATTATTAGGTTATGTTTCTTTTTCAATGCTATTTGTAACAAAGTGATGGATGTGGAAAAATTAGATGAGATTCAAAAAGATCTTGTGGTCACATTATGTTTGCTTGAAAAGTACTTTCCACCTTCATTCTTTGATATCATGGTGCATTTGACAGTGCATTTTGTTAGAGAAGTTTGACTTTGTGGACCAGTTCACTTTAGATGGATGTACCAATTTGAGAGGTTCATGAAGATCTTAAAGGGTTATGTTTGTAATCGTAATTGTCCTGAAGGTTGCATTGCTGAAAGTTATATTGTAGAAGAAGCTGTTGAGTTCTGCGCAGAGTACTTATCTGGAGTAGATACAATCGGGATTCCTTTTAGTAGGAACATAACAGTTGATGATGATATAGAAATTGGAAGGCCTTTATCAAGTTGTTCTGTTGTTACTGTTCATCGTAATGAATGTGAGCAAGCACATCATTATGTCTTAGAAAATACAAGCGACATTCAACCATACATTGAGTAAGAATATTTCATGTATATTTTTTACAATTGTATTCTCATAAGTTAGAGATTTATCTCATAATATATTGCTTTATTCATGACTTGATAAGGAGCATATGGCTTGGTTGAAGCTAAAATATAATCGCCAATCACAAAGTAAAAAATGGCTACAAATCAAGCATAACAAAACATTTATGTATTGGCTTCGTGAAAAGGTATTGGGGTAATTCAACATTTATCTTTTTCTAATAACAAATATTGTTAAGAAAAAATTAGCTAACTATTCAACCATATACAGGTCTCAAAGGAGTTAAGTGGCCAAAATAATATCTCAAATAACCTGAAGTGGATAGCACAAGGACCTCGATTTGATGTTATAAAATTTCCTTGCTATATCATCAATGGTTGTCATTATCACACAAAAGATCGGGATAACTCACGAGTTAGCCAAATAATGGAGTTAGTTTAGTGGCATCAACAATGCAAGTGACAGGTTACAAGGATAAGAACCCAGTGTTTACGGATATGAGTTACTATGGAGTTATTACTGAGATATGGCAACTTGACTACAATATGCTCAAGAATCCGATATTTAAGTGTGATTGGGTTGACAGCACAAAGGGAATTAGAGTGGATGAGTTGGGTTTCACATTAGTTGAGCTAGGGAGGATAGGCCATAAAGACGATTCCTTCATTGTGACTTCCCAAGCTAAGCAAGTTTTTTATATACAAGATCAACTTGATCCGAGATGATCAGTTGTGCTAGAACCTCCTCAAAAACAATATTCCTGTGAAAAGGATGATGAGTTCAATGATTTTTGTATAGAGCATCATGGCTTTACAAAAGTTTTGCCAGAAATTGAATCATTAGATGTGGTTGATGATTCTCCGTCATCTTGCATGTGAGGAGATTGTGAGGGAACTTGGCTCGATAATCCATGATGAAAAAAAAAGTCTTTGTAAGAATTTATGTCTAAATGTTGTATTTTTATGTTAAAATGTTTGACTTATGTTTCATTTTCTTCATGTCTTTATATTTAATTGTCTAACTATTTCACCTTTTTGTTTTAAAATTTTAATTTATTCACAGGATGGATACTTCTCATGTGTTGCCTACTGATGGAGAGGATGCATGGTTACCTGCAACAGAACCAAAATCTAATAAAAGAAAAGGCAGAGATTTGACAACATTACTAGATGTAATAAAGGATAGGAGTTCTACTGTACGAAAAGCCACTGAATATAATGAGAATGGTCAACCAATTGGAAACAATTCAATCAAATGTTCAAGCTATCATGGGGTGTTGGCTCGCACAGTGGTTCCGATATGCTATAAAGACTGGTTTGAGGTGCCAGCTGAATTGAAAGAAAAATTATGGAGTTGTGTGGAGGTAAGTAAGACTAAAAAACATGTATTTAAGTGCACTCAAAATTTGAATTTTATAATATTATATTTTTTTATTACTCAGTTAACATACAAAGTGGATGAAAGAAGTAAGAAAAAAGTGTTATCTTCAATTTGTTCAAAATGGAGGACATTCAAGAAAGAACTTAGCAAGTACATATGTGAAAACAAGTCAAATCTTGAGATCATATCAAAACCACCAGCAATTTATGGATTTGTTGAACAAAGACATTGGGACTCATTTCTTGGAAGACGACTATCAGAAGAGTTTGAGGTAAAAATAATCAAAATTTAGTTATTTAAAATGTCAATATTAAATGCTATACATTTGGATTAACATTGTGTGTTGCATTTTTAAAGATTTTAAGTCAGGTTCAGAAATGGAGACGAAGTCAAAATAAGTATAACCATAGAATCAGTCGAAAGGGCTATGCTCGCTTTCAAGAAGACTATGTCAGTGGTTTTAAATTTTATAATTTAATAACAATTTTGATATGATTATTTTTAAAAATTAATGAATGTTTGATTGATAGAAACATATGACCAGATCTACTGAAGATTTGGATAGAAGTGTTCTATGGTAAAAGGCTCGTCAAAATAAAAATGGAGAATATGATGACAAGACAATTAGGGAACAAGCTGCGAGAATTGTAAGATATTTGTGTGTACTCATTGCATTTATTTTATATTACCTAAACTGTTCATCTTTCTTATATAGTAATGTAATATTGTAGGATGAGTTGACCAAACAAAAAAGTGATGGGAGTTTAACGATTGAAGGATGCAATGACATTCTTACTATGGTATTGGGCACTCCTAAAACTTCTGGTCGAGTAAGGGGTGTAGGAAATTCTTTCACACCTAGCACCTACTTTCACTTGCCTAGACATGGGAATCAGTCACATTAGGAGAAGAAATATAATGATCTTGAGGTAGTGGTGGTACAATTACAAGCTAGGCTTCATGCAATGGAACAACAAACACCACATATACCACAATTTGAACATGTTAGTTCAAACACCTTCAGAAGTGGTTATGAAGGAAATTTTCAGCCTGATTTTCTCTCAATAGAAAACGGAGTGAGAACTAAGGATGCCATTCCACCCCAAGCTCCTACCCAAAAGATTATAAAGGTGTGACCCATTTAGAACACCTAAAGTTGTTATATTTTCTAATACTGTTAGTGATTAAATTAGTGCTTTTGTTGTTATCTATGTGTTTGTTATAGAGCAAATGTTCAAACACGTTGAAAAGTGGTGGTAGAGGGAATTTTCTGCATGATTCTATCTTAGCAGAAAATAGGGTGAGAACTAAGGACGACATTTCACCTCAAGATCCTAAACAAAATAAGAGAAAGGTGTGTAGTTTTTATATATTGATGTTGTTATAATTTCTAATATCGTTAGTGATATTCTTAGAAGTTCCATTGTTAACTTTGTGTGTTATAAGGCAAACTGTGTAAACTTGCAGTAGGTTCTATTGAAAATATTGTTGCTCATGGTACGGTGTATGAGAGAATTGAACCTAATGAAGCCATTCATATGGTGCCACTAGGAGAAGCCAATTTACATGTATCTATTCAAGTTGTTATTCAAAACGATGCCCATCTTCCTATACCTATCCCAGATGAGATGTTTATTGTTGGAGAAGCAGTGGGATTTTTTGTTGCTTGGCCCAAAAATCTTGTATTGGTCAGTGATGAGGTAAAATATTTAAACTTAGAAACTTTATTACACTTGCTTAAAATTAAAGTTGACTTATATTTGTTGATTTTGAAAATTTTTAACTTAGGGCGCTTCAATTAATGTTGAATGTGGAAAATATCAAGAGTCCATTCAATCTTTTGTTGCATTAGTTGAGCATATCAAGTATGATAAAGCCATAGACATTCCACCAGAGAAAGACATATTTGGGGAGGAGATCAATACCCAACTTCAAAGAGTAGACATGGAGTATATATGTCATGTAAAAGAATTATTTGTTACATGTATCATGTTGTACATAAGGTAAGGAGAATTTGCTACATCAATAGTTATTTCTATAGATTTTATGAATTGCGAATTTAATTAACATTTGTTTGTTTTATTAGTCATCTCCATCAAGTGTTGAAGGCTTCCAATTGGAAGAAACAATTTGTATTTGTTAACCCTTGTGTTGTTAGTGGAAAAACTATGGCTAGGGAGAAATCAAAATCAGTGTTGCTTGCAAGAAGATTAGAGAAGGCTATGCTAGAACAATTGATTTTCATTCCTTATAATAATGGGTAATTATCTAAAACTATTTATTTCATGTATTCAAAGGATATTAAACTTAGTAAGCTTATATTTGTGACTTGTTCAATTGTAGGTACCACTGGATATTGTTAGTCATTGATCTAACATTGATGTACTTGCTTGATCCAATTCATTCTAAAATAAACACAACCCTTGAAATTGTAATAAACACGTAAGTTTGGCTGGTTTGTACATTTTTAAGCAATTTGAGTTACTCTAAAAATATTTTAACTTCTGAAATTTCTTTTGTAAAATGCTTTGAAAATTTATAAAACTATCCAAAGGAAAAGGAGGACAAATCCAGTTTGGAAAGTAGTTCAAGTAATTAGTATTATTTTCTCTAATTTTATCATACTTATATTTATGCTAATGGTTGTTCAGCTTGATCATAACACTTTATATGTAGTTTCTAATAATAATGAAAATGTTTTCATGTAGTCCCCACAACAACCTACAAACGTGGAATGTGGGTTTCATGTAATGAGGTATATGAAAGACCTCATTAGATATCAAAGCATCCTAAGAAAATAAAATGTGAGATAAATTTTAAACTTTTATTACTATTATATTCATGATACTTGTACATCTTCTTCATTATCTAATTGTTTCTAAATAACCTCTTGCAGTTCAATGGAAAAAAGACTTACACGGAAACCGAACTTGATGAAGTCCGAGTAGAATGGATTAATTTCATACTAAAGAATATGAGTTGAAATCCAACATGTAAGTATGATATAACTTCCGTTCCTTAAATTGCTAATAAACAATTTTTTTAGTTGGTAAGGAATATATAATCACTTCAAGAACATAACAAATTTCATAAAATGTGTAAATTTTACTACATACAAAAGCATTTGTACAATGGAAGATAGTAAACTCAGGTACATCCTAGGAAAACTCACAACCTTCACAAAATATCACTCTTACACTCAAGAGTTTGAGATTGTTTCACACTAGATTAGTCTTGTATATCACTCTTGTATTGCATGATACCCAATATAATGAATATAAGAATGAACCCAATTTGAAATATATGTCTTCAACGTGCTCAATAACTGCAAGAGGATTTTTGATATCACTGTTGTCGATATCTAGAACAGGGTCATCATCGTCATCAACATCTTCCATTTCAACCTCCATCTACAGAATTCATGATGGATATGCTGTCACACACATCATTATTTATAGAAACTCAACTCAGTAACAGTAAAATTATTCGTTTCGATCAAGTTGCCTTTTTCTTTATTGTGAAAGAGTAGAGTCTACCAAAACCTAGAGGACAAAGCATATTAAAAAACCATTCTTCTGGATTGGTGCAAAGGCTATCTATTGCTTTCTTAGCTTGCAGAACATAGAAGCTAGAGCAGATTGAATTGTAGTTCTAGTATTTTGAGCTTACTTACCTTGCAAATTTACATAGAGGATTCTTGTTTTTGTTAGGGATATAGTCAGCAACATGGTTGTGCTCCTTGTTCACATTATTAAGTAAGGTCAACGAGGCCAATGAAGTGCCTAACATTGTAGATGTTTTAAAGAGTGTTATTGAACCAAATGTCTATATTAGACCTTAACATTCAAAAAAAAAAAAAGATATTTGTATTGGTTGGACACAAAAATTCTGGATGACTGTATAGTTTTTAGTACACTTTGTACTTTATTGAATACAATATTTATGACTGAATTTGTTTTGTGTCATTGTTTTATGAAGAAACCATATTTAGAAATCCTTAATATCTAAGACAATTTCAACATGAGTTTGCAATGGAGCCTGTTGTGCTGGATGGAGTTTTTCAGTCCCTCTTCTGCTTGTATTACAGAGTGTTGACAATTTGAACTTTGAAATGCCATGTTTATGGTAACCCAAAATCTTAGGTCTTGTTGAAGCTAATAACTAGGTAGAATTGTTGCAATGTCTTTTACTTTGCTTATCACTCAGAAAATAAATGCTCTCCTTGTCTTAGAACAGTTTAGATAAGAAAAGATGGTATGTGTATAGTATTACTCTTTGCAACTTGTATTATCTGTGGAGCTTACTTTGTCTCTGTGGGGGCTGAATAATGGGGATCGTAAAGAGGTCGAATGGCTGAACTTGGAGAGTTGGAATATAAATATAGTATTCGGCTTCGTCCCACAATTTCAAATCATACCCTATTCGGTCAAAAGGCTGGTTGGGTAAGGGGCCGAGTGAAAAGCAGTTTGCTTTAAAAGAAGCCGATTGGCGAACTAAAGGTAGGCCCAGCCCCTAGGCCCAAGAAAGAAAATATATAAATAGAAGAACATCAGCCAGAAAGAGGCATGCGAGAACTATTATGCTTATCTTAGAATACAAGTAATCTTGAGTATAGAGACTGACTTGCCCGTCGGAGTGCTAATTCCGGCACCCCCGACCGAAGTGTTTGTTCCTTTTCAGGTGACTAACATAGGATCATTAGCGTCCCCCAGGATCAGAAGAGTATTTCCAAACCACTTCTCCACAATTGGCGCCGTCTGTGGGAATACTCAAACACATCCATAGCGGGCGTAACGGAAGACCCTCCGATAGTCACTGATGAAACCACGCAGAGAGACGACCTCACTCCAACAAACATGCTTGGACCGGAGACTATCCCCGTAAGACGCGCTTTGAACTTCGCTTCACCCTCGACTCCAGAGCATGAAGCAATGCAAGCGATCATGGAACAAACAAAACAAAACGAACAAAGGTTAGAGAACATGATCGTAGAGAATGAACGTCTACGTCAGGATTTGGCCTTGGAGGTGGTGAAGTCCAAACAAGTTGTACGCCAAGGCCCAGAACGACCTGTGAGGGCAGATGGTCGACGATCTCGAGCCTGACAACAAGACACTGATAGCAACACCGACTCATTATCCCCGGAGCCCAAGAAGAAGGGGCAATCTGAAACCTCTAGTTCCTCTGAAAAGAGTCCACGTATAAGGCATAAGCGTAGAAGAAACAGCTCAGATGAAGAAGACTAGCATGATCCCTTTGTACGACAGGTCGCTAGGGCAGTTCTGCCCAAAAAGTTCAAAGTTCCGTCGTTCACTCTCTATGATGGAAAATCAGACCCCACCGATCACATCCGTCACTACAAGCAAGCCATGACATTGCATGCAGACGACGAGGCCCTTATGTCCCGAATATTTTTCAGCAGTTTGGGACCATTGGCTGTCAGGTGGTATTATAAACTGGAGCTGACTTCGATCAAAAGCTTCCATCAATTACAGAAATCTTTCAGGGCCATATTCATCACTAACGAGGTCCAGCCGAAACAAGCCGACTCTCTCTGGGCAATGCAGATCCAGCCAGGAGAAACACTAAGAGTGTATTCGGCGCGCTATTGGGAGTGCTTTAATCTTGTTGATGACGCTTGCAACGACTCTATGGCCATCACCGCCTTCAAAATGGGTTTGCATCATGACAGTGCTCTCTGCAGTTCTTTGACTAGAAGAACCCCCAAGACGGTCTGGTCATTGATGAAGAAAGTTGAAGAATACTGCAAAGTGGAAGATGACGCTTTGTGAGTTAAAGTTAAGAACACGGCCAACAAGACAGCTCCTTCTGAAATTGCTCGGCTGATAAATTATGTACCACCTAAGAGCCCTGAACCACGGCATCGGGCCAAACGAGACAAGAGAAGGGATTCTTGCCGATCAAGAGACCAATGCTCCCATCGAGAAAATGAACAACTGCAAGTTAACAGCAGGCACACGAGGTGTGCTGATAAGAAATATACAGAGTTGACAGAGCCGATCAGTGCGGTTATGTCCAAAATCCAACACCTTTCATTCTTCAAATGGCTATCGAAAATGGTGGGACCTCCTAACACAAGAAGACGGGATAGACGGTGGCCATGATACTGAGAGTTGTTATGCACTGAAGGATCACTTGGAGGAATTGGTACAAGATGGCTGGCTACAACAGTATGTCCGAAAAGGCAACCTGACCAAAACAATAACCTTAAGACAGGATTCACCTCCGCTTGGCGTGATCCACATGATATACAGCCTGCCAATATCATCGGCGGTGCATACGATTCAGTCGAGCTCTAACCCTCAAAACTAACTCACTCCGGCTAAACGGCCTCATGAAGCCGCAGGCATTACTTTTGATGATTCAGATTTGGCCGGAGTAATACTGCCCCACATTGATCCCTTGCTAATTGAGTTGCGCGTAAACCGGTTCACAGTTGAGTGCGTACTCATCGATCCAGGGAGCACATCAGAGGTTATGTATTATAAGACATTTACCAAACTCGGCTACTCAGAATCGGATCTCTCTCCAGCCCCATATCCACTATTTGGCTTCAACGCCAATCTAGAGTACCCGTTGGGGAAGATCACACTACCCGTTCAAGCAGGCTCCTAAACAATGGATGTGAAATTCTTGGTCGTCAAGCTGTCGTCGCTGTATAATCTCATCATGGGGTGATCTTGGTTGCATACTATGCAGGCCGTGCCAAGCACCTATCATTAGTTGCTATGCTTCCCGACAGAGCGCAGTATTGAGCAAATCCGTGGCTCCCAGAAATTGGCGCAAGCATGTTATCTCCTTTTGTTGAAAAAATGCCAAAGGAGCTGCAGGTGAATTCTATTGAGGTGCCAGATCGAGAGAACCACGACGATGTTGGGCGGCTCCCAAATGAAAAGGCCACGGAAGGCTTAGACCGAGTTGAAATCGATGGAAGCCCAGATAAATTCTTCATGGTCGGCGCATCCCTGAATCAGGCCGATAGACAGCAGCTAATCTCTTTCCTGCACAGCAACCTCGATGTTTTTGTGTGGACTCCATATGAGATGCCGGGTATAGATCTGTCCATTTCACAGCACCGTTTGAATATTGATTCTAAGTGAAAACCGATTATTCAGAAAAGCCAGCGATCAGCCGCAGAGCACACTGCTGCCGTTGTTGAGGAGGTTAACAGGCTGCTTAACGCCGGGGCAATCAGGGAAGTGACCTACCCTATATGGCTCTCTAATACAGTGGTGGTGAAGAAGAAAAATGGGACCTAGCGAGTGTGCGTCGATTTCACGAACCTGAACAAAGCCTGCCCCAAGAATTGTTTTCCCCTACCCAGAATTGACCAACTTGTAGATGCGACGGCACGCCATCAATGTATGAGCTTCCTCGATGCTTACAAAGGCTACCATCAAATCGCCATACATCTAGAGGACTAGGACAAAACTGCATTCCTCACCCCAAAAGGAACCTACTACTACAAGGTTATGCCTTTTGGGCTGAAGAATGCAGGGGCAACCTACCAAAGACTGGTCACCACCATGTTGAAGGAGCAACTCGGCCACACTATGGAAGTGCACATTGACGATATGGTGGTCAAGTCCAAGGAAGAGCAGAATCATATAGCCGATCTGGAAGAGACGTTCGGCATTCTACGCAAATATAAAATGAAGCTGAACGCTTCCAAATGTGCGTTTGGGATCGGCTCTAACAAATTCTTGGGATATATTGTCAACCACCGAGGAATCGAAGCCAACCCAAGGCAAATCACAGCAATCTTAGAACTCAGCTCCCCTCGATCGGTCAAGGAAGTTCAGAAGTTAATGGGGATGGCTGCCGCACTCAACAAGTTTATTAGTCGGTCTACAGATCGTTGCCGACAATTCTTTCATACACTACGGCAGGGCAAGGCTTTTGAATGGTCCACCGAATGCGAAGCCGCTTTCAACGGCCTCAAGACCTACCTCCGCTTAGTACCACTCTTGAC